ACATTAGCATAAATAAACTAATTACTTACAAGTTGTCATATGTTCCATTTCCTTGTAAAATTCAACTTCATCATCCGTGTGGCTATACTTTGCGGTTTGCGGTAACCGCAAGTTTTGAAAATCAAATACCGCAACCGCAACCGCAAATGCGGTTCGGTTCTTAATACCGCAAATGCGGTTCGGTTTACCGCGATTGCGGTTTTATTGCGGTAAATTGTCGGTTGATTTTTGCGGTTTTTCGGTTTTTCGGTTTAAAATGCCACCCCTAGATGGTATGACATATTATATTTTGACGTTCAATCCGGCAAAATTGGATCATGCTTCTATAACGACAGGTAGTGGGTGAAAGAGCTGAGATTTCTGATGGAGCCCCATTCTTTACGAATTGTCAAAATCAAGTGCATAAACTTAAAGTTGAAGAGATGAGCTGTTGGAAGCAGGAAGCAAATGAATAGAGAAGACGACATGTGCCTTTCTGTCACCTAATAATCTCTTTAGCAAGGCATTCTTTAATTTTCTTATAAATTATAAGGAAAAATTGTCGTTAACAACCTAAATCCACTTGATTGACGCATCAGATTGTCTTAATTTTGATGTTAGACTACTCCGTTATTGTAATAGCCCTTTATGATTAGTTTATATTAGCCATTTGTGGTTAGTTATTTTTTTTAGCAGAATTATAAATACAATTCTAGAATTTCTCAACCCAAAAAAAACTCATTTGATTGGCTGAACTTATTGTTCAATTTTAATGTCGTTAACAGTCATTAAGAATCAAAATAAATTATTTTTTTTTCCCAAGAAGAATCAAAATATTGTTGGATACCACAATTATGTAAACTTGTATTTCTTTTATAGTATTCAAGGTCGTCGGAAAAATCAATTTTTTGCTTTCTATATATTCGAAGGAGATGGCGGAATGGAACCCGCTCAACTTGTTCATATTTATTTCACTACACATGCAGTCAAGATCACATGGCTCAATATAGAACCACCATTTTGTATTAAGTAAGTAAAGATGAGAACAATAATATGTAAGTCTTCTCCGAGGGGCTGCTCTTTTGTGTGACATGTTTTACAAATGCCAAAAACTGGGTCTCTCATTTATGGTACAAAGTAATAATATATGTGTTCGATCAAATTTTAAAAATAAAAATTTAACAATAATATTTGTAAAATTTTAGCATCCGATGTAAGGTTGGCAATGGGTCATGTCATGTCAGGTTTGTGTTGTCTTAAGATGATAAACGTATCAAGAGTGCTCAACCCAAACCTGACTCATTTAATAAACATATCGTGTCCGGTTTGCATTGTGTTAAACATGTCACATTTTAAGAGGAGACTAAATTCAAAATAGAGATGAGAATTAGAATGAGGAGATCGACTTAGGCTAAGGTTTTCATTTGGGTAGGTTGAAATCCACTACCCTAGGATGCACGGTGGAGTAGAATAGAATATGCCAATAGGTACACGCCACATATTTATTACTAATAATAAAAATTTAAAATTTAAAAATAAATGTGTCAAGTAGGTTGTTTCATTGGTTGGTGCTAAACACACCCGTTTATTAGACATGTCATGGTGGGTTGATCCGATTTTGACCAGCAATTGTAATCAATGTTGATAGGGTGTCTCTCCAATTATACCGGGGCCCTGACTCGAGTCAAGACCAAGACGTATCCCGGGCTGTTAGGTTGTGATCATCCAAGATAGCCTGCACACTTCTAGCAACTAAACTCAAAAGAGGGAAAAACTAGTGTGATACTAGTCGAACCCCCTTCGATGGCTAAGTTAGAGGTAGATTTAGAGTAGAGAAAAATGGATACAGGTTTCTGGGTGAGAATAGTTATTACATTTGTCTCAATGCATGTGAAAAGTATTTATAAAGGGATTGTATGTTGAACTTTGTTTTACTGGAAATTTGGTTAACTTTCATGTTACTTTTTTTGGTTACATTGGGAAGAAGGAAACCCCTTGGTTTACAGGAAATTTGGTTAACTTTCTTGTTAACTTTGTTTTACTTTGGCAACATTTGCATGTTACTGTAAGACATTGTTTGATGCCTAAACCGATCGAACCAAACCGCACCAAACCGGTCATGAATGGTTTGGTTTGGTTTGATTTTCATTTTGATTTTAGGTGAAACTGAACCACACTGGACCGTAAAAATTTAATTGGTTCGGCCGTGGTTTGAGGGTCAAACCGGATCGTGCCCATGCCTAGAATCGACTCAGAGAGAGAAAGATATTTAAAAATATATATAAAAGATTTAAGTTGTTTTAATTTATTTTTTTTATCGATTTTAAGTTTTAAATATATTGTAAATATATTATATTATATTTAAAGCCATGTGGCTCTATACCATTACATTTGTGGGCTCCACACATATGTTACGTCATCAATTTAATAGAAAATTTGACGGAAGCTAACGACAACAAGAACCATTTTGATGTGTGGAGGCTAACTTTAAGGATCATTAGTGTCAAAAAAAAGTTATGAACGAAATGTGATAATTTTGCAAATCTTAAAAACTATTTGTGATAAAAATCCAATTAATAATTATGATTTCTCGTTTCACTCATTGCACCACCAAAGATGCTCCTATGAACCAAGTCTTTGTGGCACATTCTGAATTTAAGATCATAAAGTGGGAGCAAGGATGTAGACATTGATTTAAATCAGGGAAAATGAAGGATTGGAATTGCGGAGGTTGATTACCTTATCCACTTTGGATTGACATGCTTGTGTTGCACTATCGTGAACAATACCACAATGAGAGCAAAATGTAAATCCTAGAATATTCCAAATAATATAATTTTTATGAAAGGAAAAAAAAAAAATAAAAATGTCAAGGTATAAAAATTGCTTAAGAACAGGAGATCACAAATGATTGCCCATCCCAATCTTACCTTAATTTGTGTGTCTTTTTTTCTCTTTTTTCGGTCCAATGCAATAAAATAACTTAAATCAAAAGCCAGCTCATCACCACAACCTCATCTAATTCACCAACTCCTGGATTCATTTGTGACATACGAATGACGCAACAAATGCCCACTAACATTTCAATCAATCACGGGCCCCACCCACCAACTAATGTTAGAGGAAGAATTTTCTGTTCGTGGGACCCATTATTCAGAGAGGATGGTTCCACAGTTCTACTGCAGCTGAGGAGCAGAGGAGTGTTCCCCGCGCAGAGTTCACCAACCCCACTGGCTGGGGCTGGAGCCATAGCCAATGCTGATGTGTCAAGCTTCCAAGCAAGGCTTTTGTTTTTCCTTCATGTTCTGTCTAAAGTCCATCCTCTGTGTATTTATATGCTTCATTTGGGTTTCTGATTCTCCAAAGCCAAAACCCACTTTTTTCTCAAAAACTCACCAAACCCAACATCTCTGCGTCTCAGACACATACAGAAAAGAAGGAAAAAGAATATGGGTAGCCTTGAAGTGGAGAGAACAACAACAGGATGGGCTGCAAGAGACTCCTCTGGAATTCTCTCGCCCTACACCTACACTCTTAGGTAAATCAATCTTAATAATATCCCTCTTATTTTGTGCCTCTTATTTTTTTTTTTTCCTTGAATCATTGATAATTATAAACGTAGTATATTGAATTCGTCAAATTTGTTCACCAAATAATTGTGACAAACGACGTCTTGTCACATCGTTTGCTAATTGCATTTAGCAAATTGCTAATTATTTTTAATTAAATTAACAAATTGCAGGAACACTGGTCCGGAAGATGTTTATGTCAAAGTCCTAAGCTGTGGGATTTGCCACTCTGATCTTCACCAGGTCAAAAATGACCTTGGCATGTCAAACTATCCAATGGTTCCCGGGTAAGACGTTCGCCAGTACCACGCTATAATTACTCATTCAATTGTTCCTTTTTATGTCACTTCCTTATATGATTTGTAAATAAATAACCATTTACCATATCTGCTACGTTATGTTATTAACCAGGCATGAGGTGGTTGGTGAGGTGTTGGAGGTGGGATCAGATGTGACCAAGTTCAGAGTAGGAGATGTGGTTGGAGTTGGCCTCCTTGTGGGTTGCTGCAGAAGCTGCAACCCATGCAAAACAGACAACGAGCAATACTGCAACAAGAAAATCTGGTCTTACAATGACACTTATTCCGATGGCAAACCCACCCAAGGGGGTTTCGCTGGTGAACTGGTCGCTGATCAAAAGTAATCGCCAAACCCTAATAACCATTGTTTACAACAAAATTTGCATTACCTTTGGCCATATCTCTTAATTTCTGTTTAAATTACAAGTTCAGATGATCTGCTTATGTTTTTTTGCTAATATTTTGTTTAGACTAGTGATTTTATGTTTGGTGTCTTGGCTTGAACTGAAATATGGCTTAAATGGCTAGTCTTTGTTCATTTTAGGTTTTTATTAATCATATTCTCAATTTTATTTCCGGTGAAAGGTTTGTGGTGAAGATACCGGACGGCATGGCCTGGGAACAGGCTGCGCCGCTACTATGCGCCGGCGTGACGGTGTACAGCCCACTGAAGCACTTTGGTCTAAATGTGAGCGGATTAAGAGGAGGAATATTAGGACTTGGGGGTGTAGGACACATGGGGGTGAAGATAGCAAAGGCCATGGGGCACCATGTGACTGTGATAAGTTCTTCAGACAGGAAAAAAGAGGAGGCTTTGGAGCATGTTGGGGCAGATGAGTTCTTGGTCAGCTCAGATGCCACTAAAATGCAAGAGGCTGCAGACTCATTGGATTACATCATTGACACAGTGCCTGTTGTCCACCCACTAGAGCCCTACCTCTCTCTGTTGAGGCTTGATGGAAAATTAATCTTGATGGGTGTTATTGGTGCCCCTTTACAATTTGTCTCCCCCATGGTCATGCTTGGTAAAATCCCACTTCTACCACTTTCAAATTTTGCAATTAAATTTATAGTTCTTATCTGGGTTAGTGGATTAATTCAAAATTATGTCTTCAAAAATCTTGGGTTTGTTTTTTTTGTATATAATAATATTGGGTTCTATTGGAATTATTATGTGTAGGGAGGAAATCAATCACAGGGAGCTTTGTGGGAAGCATGAAGGAAACAGAGGAGATGCTTGAGTTTTGCAAAGATAAAGGATTGACATCAATGATTGAAGTGGTTAAGATGGATTATGTCAACACAGCCTTTGAGAGGTTGGAGAAGAATGATGTTAGGTACAGGTTCGTTGTGGATGTGGCCGGCAGCAATCTTAATCCATAGAGAGATAAGAAGAAGAAAAAAAACCACAGAATTCTGTTTTTTTATACAGAGCTTTCTGTTTTAATAAAGAAAGAAAAAAGCTGAAATGGTGCTTTCATTTCATATGAGTGGATGTTTATTTTCGTTTTGTTTTGTTTTTAAGTATTTGGATAGTGTGATTGAGGTGAGGAGGGGCCAATTTGATTTGGTGTGGGATGATGACTGTGAAACAAGGAAAGATACCAAACTTTAGGTGAGAATTGCGTCGTATATCAAAAGATAAGTACTTCTGCTTTGGATACCAAACTTTAGGTGAAAATAAAATAAAGGCTTATTTACTTAGTACCCCCTACAACTATGGTCAAAGCTTATTTTATCCCCTGAAAGTTTAAGTGGCCCATTTTATCCCCTTGACCGATGTTTTGCGTCTCATTTTATCCTCTGTCGTCAAGTAAAAAGTCTATAAAAAATCTGTTTAAAATGCTAACGTGATACAAGTGAGACCCATTATTATACTCAATTATATGCCATGTGTGTACCAAAAATACTCCAGAAAAAAAACTTCAACAAAAAAAATAATAATAAAAACCTCAATTCCCTCTTCTTCTCCCATCCTCAGGGCACCTACCCCACTGCACACCTCCCACCGCCCACCTCCACAACCCCTCCCTCTCTGTGTCTCTCCCTCTTGCTCCCACCTCTAGTGAAGACACGACAAATACTTGGACAAACTAAAAAATAATCTAAATAAATAAACTGGAAATTGTTAGAATACAGAAGTTTTCCAACCTGAAAATTACATAAAATAAAATCTTTAAAGCCCTGCCATAGGTTAATCTTATCCCACAAAATATCCACCTCCTCTCCCTTATAGCAGTGCATGCTGGAGTTACCCAACTGAAATTAGTTGCCTCAGACAACCTTAACCACACAGATAATGCAATTAGGCATAGAAAAAGCAAATGATTCGTGGGTGTGGGTCAAAAACCAGAGCATCTTGCTCTGAAGAAATGCAATTGGTCAATCTCACTATGAAGAAACAAACAGAGCAAAAACCAGAGTATCTCGCTCTCAGTGGGCAATGGATCCATGCCCATTCGTGTGGGTCACTGTTCGCAATATTGCTCTCAAGATCCCAGTAGCTTCCAAGCTCACCCGCTCCGTCGTCCACCTTTCTTCCTCGTCGTTTTTCTGCAAGATCAAGCTCAACAACCTCCCCCCTCAAAACGCCGTTGTCCCCTGCCTCCCGTCGGAGGCCCAGACCCTTGACAGCGCTGCTCAAGCGAATGCCATGGCCGCCACGTTCCACCTTAGCAAGTTGGATCTGGACCGGGTCGGGTCCAAGTCCGTAATCTCCCAAGCTCTGCCTCAAAATCTCAATATACACAGTCGTAATTGGTGGCCATCGGAATCGAGAAACCGATCAACCGAACCAAATTGGATTGAAAAAAAGGGAAAAAAACCGTGTTGATCAAAAAGTCAAACTCAATTCAAAAAATCAAACCGAACTGATTCTAACCATTTCCCGTTTCAGTTCTACCCAACAAATCAAATCGGGCTGAACCAAACCAGTCAAATTAAAAAATATATCATTTTAATATTTATTTATATCCAATGCTATATTTTTAATCTCATAACTAATATCTACTCAAGTTCAATTTTAAAATGTATCTCTTTTTCAGCTTCAATATTCCTTTTTTTTGTATGAAATTGGATAATTTGTTAATTTTCAAGTTATAAATAAATAAATTTCAGTTGAAATTTGTATTTAAAAAAAATAGTTTGAAATAATAATAATAATAATCCAGCTCAAAATTGAACTGGACCTAAACTGGATCGAAACCAATTCAACCCTAACTGGATAATTTAAATTTTTTGTTAAAATTGGACCAAACCAAACCAAATAAATAATACCGATTTTGGTTCCAATTTGAGGCAAAAATATGCGGCATCAACTCCGAGAGAGGTGGAGATGGTGCAATGATGGCTACCCCAAGTGGTTGGCGAGGGAGGGGGTCGCTTGGTAAAGAGAAAGAAAGAGGGAGAGAGAAGTAATTATTTTATTTTTCCTATTTTTTAATTTTTTAAATAAAATATTTTATTAATTTAGTCACACGTGTCAGGCATTCATTTCAACAAATGAGTGGGTCTCACCATATTTCTTTGACAAAGCCCACTCTATTAAAGAGGTGATACACAATGTGATATAAAAATATAGAGCATTTTTGCTCACCACTTTAACCTAATGTGTACCTTCATCACTCTCTTAAAAACTTGACACATGTCTATGAATATAATCATAGTTAACTCTTTGTTTTAAAAAAATTTAAAGTATCTAAAACCCAAAAAAAGAAGGTCAAATAATAGTATACAAACAGAGAGAAAACAAGTTATTTTCTTGGATTCCTTTATTTTAATATATATATATATATATAGAGAGAGAGAGAGAGAGAGAGAGATGGGAGATGGGTTTGGGATTTGGGGTTTGTGTACTAAGACGCTATTGCTTCTTTTTCTATAGATAGGGAAGTTTTGGGAGAGAGAGAGAGAGAGAGAGAGAGAGAGAGAGAGGGAAATGAGTGGAAAGAGGGGATGGTGATGACTCATGATTTAATAAGAAATTGAAAGATGAGCTATCAAAGGAGGCTGGTCCTAAATTGATTCAGTCTCTCTGCTGAAGTTGGTATTCTTTTTATTTAATTTAATTGGCAATCCAATGTGTATAAAGAAGGGAATTGTGGAGTTGAGGGACGGAATGGTGTCTGGAGTTGCGGTAGGGGAATGGTGGCTAGTTGCTAAGGGCAGTGGCTGTAGAGAAGGGGATTTGAACCCCTCCCATTTTACTCCTCCAACACCTTAACCACCATATATCACTTATGTTTTAGTGATAATATTCTAAAATATTTATATTTATATTGGTGGCATGTTAACAATTACATGCAAAACTATTTTGGAGATTTATCATTGGATGAATACTTTTCACAATACATTTACTCTACACATAGAGATGATGAAGATAGTGAAAATTTTGAACCTCATAGGAGCTCTATGTGGTACTAAGTCACTCATGTATCTTACCATGCAATGTATAAAGTGTAAAATATTGTAGTAAATCATTATATATAAATGATTATGGTGTGTTTAATCTTTTTTTATTAATTATTACATATTTTCTACACTCACAGTGTTTAGCAACTCACTGTATAATCAACTTAAATCAGTTAAATCCATCATGTAAACTAATAGATAATTGACTAAATAAATATTCTCCAAAGTTTCAATAAAAAATTTCAAGTTTTTCTTACAATTTTCGTGGTTTTTATTCAATTTTTATCGATATCGATAACAATAATATCCCGATATTTCCATCGAAATTTTCATATTTTTAAATTACCGATATTTCCAATATCATCGATATTTTAGACTATTATAGAGAATAGAGTCTCAATGATAGGGGTGGGTCGGCGATGGGGGAGAGAGAGAGAATAGAAAATAGAGAAAGACTTGTGCCCAATTAGGTCGGCCGAGAAAGACTTGTTCCTCTAATCTACTCCATGACCACGTTGCTTCCCACGTGTCACTAAAGTGGAATTATCTTAATGACATGGTTGATTGTCAATGCTGTTCCAACAACCATGTTTTGAAATTGGTCAGAAGATCTACAACTGGAATCAAACTTAAGGAAGGAAGTAGTGAAACTGAAGAAACTAGGTTTAGTTATTAAATTTAGCTCACCAGATGAAATATTATTGATAACTAAAGGAAAAAAAAAATTATTTAACTGAAGATAGTCGACAGCCGTACCTAACGGCTTGAAACCGTACCAGACGAGCATGCTAATTACATTACATGTGAGCCTATGGCCCCTCCTAACATAAAAATAATGGGGATTGATCTGATCATTCTGAAGACGTGGAACTGATGTTATGATAATTGGTGGAGAAATTCAAAAACTATAGCCAATTTATTTCAGGCGTCACTTCATTCAAATTTCATTTTTAAGGTTTAGGATTAGTCAAGTTAGCTAGAGCGAATGTGCTCTTCTTTTAGCACTCGAATTCAAATATCTCTCCCGTAATTTAGATTAGATTAAAATATAATATCGCTTGTAAAAATAATAATAATAATAATAATTTCATTGTAGGGCTCTATGTTATGTTTTCTTTGGTCACGTGTAAGCATTTAGACCGGTATCATCACGTTCACTTGAATGAGATTACGTGCCTAGAATCTTAGACGTCAAATATCCCCCCATATCAAAAGAAATCTATTTTCTTGTCTTTTCTTTTCAGTAGACAATAACTTAGGTGTCCATCTTCTTAACGAAGCTTTGGCTTCTGTCCATTTGCGCTTATAACCCAAAACCAACCTTTCCAAAACAGTCCAACTCTTTCTCTCTCTGTCTTCTCTCAAACACTCACATTCACATACAGAAGAAGCTAAAATGGTTAGCCTTGAGGTGGAGAGAACAACAACAGGATGGGCTGCAAGAGACTCGTCTGGGATTCTCTCACCCTACACATACACTCTTAGGTAAATCAATCTCATATCCCTCCCTTATTGTTGTATGTGTGTGTTATGATCTCCTATACAATAATACCGACTCGCCTAATTTATTTATCAAATGATGTGTCCGTGCGCATGTTAGAACGGAAACTTGTACACGGTTTAGTAACTTTATTTGGTGAATAAACTTAGTGCGTATAGTATAGTGATGTGCGTATAGTATAGTGATCATCTCTTCTTTCTACATGTCATATACCTCTTTCTGCTGATTTTTTTTTTTTAATTTTTTTTTTAAAACAATTGCAGAAACACTGGGCCGGAAGACGTTTACATCAAAGTCCTATTCTGTGGAGTTTGCCACACTGATACTCACCAGGCCAAAAATCATCTTGGCATGTCAAAGTATCCCATGGTTCCTGGGTATATAATAAAATTAATCCCACTTTCCTATATATGTTACAATATTTATTTATAATTACATTATTTTAAATATATAAAAATTGCAAAATGTTCTGCTGGACAGGCATGAAGTGGTTGGTGAGGTGGTGGAGGTGGGATCAGCTGTGAGCAAGTTCAGAGTAGGAGACGTGGTTGGAGTTGGGCTCGTTGTGGGTTGCTGCAGGAACTGCAATCCTTGTAAAACAGACAACGAGCAATACTGCAACAAGAAAATCTGGACATACAGTGACGTTTACACCGATGGGAAACTCACCCAAGGCGGCTTTTCTGCTGCCCTAGTCATCGATCAAAAGTAGCAACCAAAGCATAATAAGCTTAATCTTTTCTTCCTTTTTTCGTGTGAAGCATATAATAAGCGTAATTCTAACAAGATATATGGCGCATCATACTGTCAATCAGAACCACACATTTAAATATTACCTAATCAACGTTGATATTGATTTACAAAATGTTGGAAGAGTTTCTAAGTTCGGAAGTACAGTAATTTTGACTGATTTTGTGTTTTTTTTTTTGCTAAGGTTTGCGGTGAAGATACCAGATGGCATGGTGCTGGAACAGGCGGCGCCGCTGTTGTGCGCCGGGGTGACGGTGTACAGCCCACTGAGGCAGTTCGGTCTGAATATGAGTGGGTTAAGAGGAGGCATATTAGGACTTGGGGGTGTAGGACACATGGGGGTGAAGATAGCAAAGGCCATGGGACACCATGTGACTGTGATAAGCTCTTCTGACAATAAAAGAGTGGAGGCTATGGAACATATTGGGGCTGATGAGTACCTGATCAGCTCAGATGCCACTAAAATGCAAGAGGCTGCTGATTCGTTGGATTACATTATTGATACAGTGCCTGTGGTCCACCCTCTTGAGCCCTACCTCTCTTTGTTGAAGCTTGATGGGAAATTGATCTTGATGGGTGCTATCAACGACCCTTTACAATTTGTCTCCCCCATGCTCACGCTTGGTGAGTCCCATTTCTATCACCATCTTTCTTTCCTCGCGAACCTTTTTTTTTCCATTCGGAATTTGCTTCGACTACGAGCTTAGATTTTAGGTTTAAAGTCACGAGTTTTATCAATGCTAAAAAATGAAGGCTTAAAATCTAGCCTGTGCCAGCCAATTTAAAATAACAAATTTACATTATCATTCAACCTGTTATTAAAGTTATGATAAGATAAGACGATCGCATTAATGACCCGATATGACTCGGGCTTATATACATTATTGTCTCACTTCCTGACAGCTTAACTTTTTGAATGTCAAAAAGAGAACATACGTTTATCTAAATTGTTCAATTATGTATAGGAAGGAAGACAATCACAGGGAGCTTTGTGGGGAGCATGAAGGAGACAGAGGAGATGCTTGAATTCTGCAAAGAGAAAGGATTGAAAACAATGATTGAAGTGGTTAAGATGGATTATATCAACACAGCCTTCGAGAGGTTAGAGAAAAACGATGTTAGGTACAGGTTCGTTGTGGATGTGGCTGCCAGCAATCTTCATCAATAGAGTGAAATATCACATAATTCCGACTGTATTATCTACATAACAAAAAAATGTTTATGCTCATATGATGCTTTCATATTGTCTTTAACCCTACTGTGATTGTTGTGATAGATGGGGCCATTGTATTCGGTGTGGTCCTTGATTGACTATGGCTTATCCAAATAAAATTTAAGAGTCCTCCAATTATGTCACGCGTGACAATTTTGTTCGTCCGTCGCATTTGCCTTTTTGAAATTTTTCTGAGAAGTAGATAAGATCCGTGGAAAATAAGTCATAAAAATAAGATAACCAAAATTATGAATTCCTCCCTTGATGTTTCTTTCATTTTCTCCAATGGCTTTGTTGGCTTCAACAACCATGTTTTGAAATTGGTGACACGGTTTGCAATTTCCAAAATAATTTGCACTCAAACCACTTGATTCTGTGTCTGACCTTCAACATTGATAAAGATCCAAGATCATCTAGCAAATTGTAAATTGTAAATAAAATAATAAATAAATAAGAAGAAAAAGGAGAGAGCAAGGGAGGAAAATGTAGCTCATCTTTGTCAGAGTTAAATTTAGTGGAGGCTCCTGACCAGCATAAAAAGAACAATCAATTCACACTGCTGCATCGGAGTTAAATCTTGAACAAATGTGGCAAAAAGAGCTAGCTTTCTAGAACTGGTTTCAACCCTCTCCAATTGCTTATTCACCATACATGTAAAATACAACACTCAGCAGGATAAAAGAAAATAAAGGGCTACCTACCGACGATGTATGCTGTGACTGGGCCTGTTCAATTGACTCCAAAACATCTTGGTACAATTTAGAACAGTACCTTCAAAAGAAGCCAACTGTAAATTTTCAAAAATTTATGTATGTAAATGCAAAGCATAGATTTGATATGGAGACAAATCATAGCGTTCGATACATCTCTGGGATCAATATTCAGAATCTCTAAACAAACACTTGATGCCCTATCTTTCTTGGTTCCAACTTCCATTCACAGTGGTAAAATGCCCTACAAAGAATGCCACAAAAGCTTTTTCCTATGTGACCTCCTGCTAGTAAACATATCATAGAAGCAATCAAGAATCCGTCGATGACTTCTCAAGTTGTGTGGCCTCTGAATTAGTACCCAAACTTAACGTATGTGCTGTCTTAAATGTTTGCCTCAATTAAATCCATACTCGTTGACTAAAGTACATATTCATAAAGTATCTTGAAGGATTGAAGCCACTCAAAATCACTGCAGAAGGGGATAACAAACAATTTCAACATAAAGTGTAATGGAACGCAAAGCAAAAGCAAAGTCACGAGTCTCATGCAACACTTACAGATTGGAGAGAGGACAATGACAACACTGATTGGATATAGGAAGAAAGTCGTCCTCTCCAGAAAGGGCAGTACTGCAAGAATAGGACACTTAATCAGAGTAAGACACATGAAGGCAAACTGGCATTAATATTTGTTACTCAAAATAAACCGCCGACCACTTGAATTCCCAACTATATCTCAAGTTCTTAACAAGAAAGTATATCATCCACAAGTTTTTCTCATAGAGCCTTTATCATATACTGGAACAAAAACCAACTGGACAACTCAACACAGTTGAATTCCACTCTAAAGTCATGGGGTTAGATTACAAGCTGATGAGCTAACTTAACGGCTGGAAACACAAATATATTTTTTGGGACTTAAGAGAATTCAATATCATTGACCATAGAGGAGAATGCAAGGATCTACAATGCTGCCCACCTCTGCATCTCCACTGCATAAGTGGTGGAAGCTCTATGCAGAAATGATTTAGGTGAACATGTCCCCTAGTTACTGGTCTTTTATTTGATGAAATCAATTGCACATTTCACCTATTAGAATGCTGATTGAATTCATAAATTTTGGCCTTTCAAGCAACATCACTTTGTTCCACATCCAAAACAGCAGCAACCACTTAGTAGTATAATATGATCATAGTAAGTTTTAGAAAATAGTATCCGCCATAAACAGCATGGGCAAGAATGATCTCATCACACTATCTGCACCTAAACATTTGAAAGAAAATTCTTAAGCTCATAACGAAATCTTTAGCTTACCATCATAACCTAAAAAGTTGAGATAATGATAGTATGAAGTTGCCCCCATGAATAGCAAATTTGATAGCAACACAGGAATGAAACCATGAGCTACCAAAATTGGTGATAGAAAATAATGGATCACTGCACAACAAAGACATCAGAACATCATTTCACATATTTGAGATTGATAATATGATAAGGAAAACACTTTTTGTATTAATTACCGTAAAGCATAACAAACATCGGGAAGAAAGAGTTGCAGTGCACATCAAATGCGTACATCCTTCAATTGACCAAAATCACCACAAAATAAACAATCAGAATGGTTTTACACACGAAAAGAAATAAAAGCTGGAAATACATGTATAAAAATTTAATTGCAAGTTCTGGGAGATTCAATCAATCTAAAATCATCCACGCACACACAAAACATGCACATGAATGTACACAATCAGGCAGGATCAGGAAAAAACTAAGCCGATTGTTCAGCAAGAATCATATTGCTAATGAAGTAGGAAATGAAAGATCATAGACTTGCCATTCAACACGTTGCTCAACAACATGACTATTCGGTGCCTCTTCACGAAGGTAAGAATTAGTCAAAAACCTGCACGAACATTGAAAAGTGGACTTTGCCATTATACGATGATCAATACTTTACTCTAAGGTGTCTATTCCAGAAGAAGACTGAGAACCATATAAATAAAGAGATTGAGAATGAAAATCATTTAGACTGAAATTTTTTTCCAAATGGCCAACCCATATAGATATAGTAATGTGAGACCCCACCACTGCAATTACATCTCTATCTGAAGCTCATCTTCCCCAGACATACAATCACCATCCCATTATTTCCTATATAGACTTTTGAGTAATTAAACACGTATCGTCACTTGCAAACTAGTTATTTACAAAAGACCTGGATTCGCATTTATAACAGAACATATCACTCAGTAACATTTCACTCCCATATGTCACTTCATGCACAACTAACATGTTTTTTGTCTTTAGATAAATTATTTTATACTCACTATTTCCTTATATAGAAGCCTTGTACTGAATGTTCAAGTGACTCAGCAACCTGAAGCTGGCTTGGTATCAACAGATGATAGCAACTAAATAACATATTTTCCTACTTCTATGGAAAATGGCTTCCTTTACTTAAGAAAATTCAGTTTTTTATAATAAAAAATAAAAGAACTGGGTTTCCGTAGAACTTATTTGTTCCTGCAATTTTTTCACGAAACAATTGAGCCTGCATAAGAAGTCACTGACATATCTAAGGATCAGATAAAACGAGTATCACATTAGTGTTAGCCAGAACGAATTCTTACCAACAAAATGTAGCCAGAAGCATTCCGATGAACAAAAAATGAAAAAGCAAAACGGAAATAACTACAAAAACAGCATGTGCAGCACTATGGTCGTACCTGAAATAAGTCAGATTATATAAAAGTCAGCAAAGGATTCCTCACAGAACTCTTGGAACTGACTAAAGCTAGAAAACAAAAATTAAAGAATAAACTGATAAAATACTCAATGAGGGTAGAACTTTTGAGCCAGCGCAATATCAAATTTATATGAACCTAGTATATCCAAACTGCAACTTTTACTTGTAGAGCATATGATTATTGTCTATTAATTTATTTTGACATTAGACAAACTTTTTCTTTAAAAGTCCTGTGACAAAAGAAATGTTTGGAAGGATCTCCATCAGCTGGAAGATGAGAACTCTAGGGTTTCATTCTGGAAATTTCAAATCAGCTGTGACTGTTATTTTAAATTAATATCAGTGCTACCCAATTCTTTGTTGTAATCTAGCAACAGCAGGTAAGTAAACAGTAAACTTACGCAGCACAATAAGCCATAGTTGCAACTGCAAGTAGAAGGCTGCAGATTACAACAAAAGCAGGGTCGTCCCGAGCCCATTGATTCTTAGTTTCTGAGACCAAAAGGAAAGTAAACAACATTTCACTTGCATCAGATGTAGCAACACTATTTCATACTTTTGACATGTAATCAGTCCACCGGCATGGAAATAAATCAAAAAATTCAGAAATTCCAACTTAGTAAAAAAAAAAAAATTTGAAAAGTAAAGAACTTACGCTTGTGGTACTTGGTGTGCTGATAGCTGCATCAGTCATACAGTTCCACATGCAACACAAAATTTGATATTAAGGAAATCAGGAGCAACAACAAAACAGCATGCTGATGATATGAAAAGGTGAATACTTACACAACTTTTGGTGAGGTGCATAGGTGAAGCATTTGCCAAAAAGTATATTCAATGTCCATTTGTTGCCACTACAATAAACCAATAAAAAACAAGAGATAAAGCATGCCTAAGGATTCAAAATAATAATGAAATGCAATTAACATTCTAGCTTCCCAAACCAAAAGTTTAAAAATATTTAAAAGAGTTAGGTATAAGGCAACAGAGCAGACTTAGATGAGCTGAAAAATCCACACCTAAGACCTATACCCAATACTGGGTTATGCAATAGATGGAATTAAAATCCCAATTAATGTGATTATATATCCTCTCAATGTTCAATTTGTATAACATCCAATAAAGCTTCATGGTTGCTGAAATAGATATTTAGTTTTGAATTTGTGCAGGTCACAACCCTAAACTTAGAAGATCTAGATCCCCTTACAAATTGTATACTAATATAAGTGTAGCAGGTCTCAATTTTAAGTGTAGGTCGCTATAAAACAGGGATTCCAAGTGAGACTGAAAATTCATATCAAACCCTGTGGGTTGTGTCTGGGTGCAGGGCTCAAAATATGATTAACTTAGAAGTATAGACACAAGAACCCATAATATCTCCAACCCCCTCGCCGTACGAAAATATTCCTCCTTTATCCAAGAAACCAAGTTGCTAACTCCCAATTCAAATCAGTCAAAAAGTCCCTAAATCTCTATAGTATTGATCTGAACCCATCATGGTGGAAGATTCCGTTTTCTCGCTTCTCTTACTTTCTTCTCCACTTTAAAGCCATTTCGCAATATCTATGTAAACTATATGTTTGCCATTTTGTAGTTAGCACTAAGGAAATGTGTTAGGGTTCTGCATTCCACAACCCATCTAGCATTTTCATCTTTGGTGAAGCTAGGCTTGATTTCTATTTTCATC